CAATTCTTTTCTTGACACAAACATGGCCTTGTTTGAGCTTTGGTCGAGGGAACTGTTGTTGTTAAATGATGACTTGCAGTAAACTTCTGTTTCTCATATATGACTACAAAAACATGAAATATCATGCATACGTCTTACTGTGTTCATTGTGTTTTTTCATGGTGTTTTTTGTCCTTTTTAGAACTCAACAGCCATGTCACATTGAGTTGTACTGTATATAATTCTTAAAACAAATTATTCATTGAAAAAAATAACATCATACAGGTGAAATGGAATGACATGAGGGTGAGGTTGAAAAGCTGGAATGCACTACAGGTCTTTTAAAATATGAACAGATTTTAGAACACTATGCATCATAAACTTGCTAACTTTAAAACTGGTTACAGAGAAAAACTGGGCATCATAGACTAAACAAATGAGGATTACACACTAACCAACCAGACTCAGCAGAAACATGCCTACACTCTTAAAAATAAAGGTGCTTCACGATGCCATAGAAGAACCTTTTTGTCTAAATGGTTCCATAAAGAACCTTTAACATCTGAAGAAACTTTCTGTTTCACAAAAGATTCTTTGGGGCGAAAAAAGGTTCTTCAGATTATAAAAAGGTAAGAAAGAGATGGTTCTTTAAAGAACCTTTGACTGAATAGTTCTTTGTGGAACCAAAAATGGTTCTTCTATGGCATCGCTTGAAGAACCTTTTGAAGCACCTTTATTTTTAGGAGTTGAAAAGAATGTGTTCTAAAAATCAGATTTTCTGTGAAATCTATCTCTCTTAACACTACATTCTAACTAACTCTGACTGCCCAGTATCCACAGATTTGCTCTGACTTGTAGCAACTAGCGTTGGCTCATCCAGACTGCAAATCCAAGCAAAAATCTTGGCAAAAGTCAGAAAAAAGCAATGTATTTCAGCCTTAAATAATGTCTTTTTTTACTTTTGGGTGAACTGTCACTTTAAACAAAGGCAGAATAGAAAATTCAAGGAAGTAAATTCTCAAATTAAGGTACAAATCACAGTTGCACTATTATGCTGAACAAACAGTCTCTGGGGCTAAGAAATAGGGAGACAGCACAAAAAAGAGAAATGGACGGAAAATGACAAGAAGATGCAGGTCTGACATCCAAACAGATTCATACCCCGGGGCTGGAGAGCCATCACAGCCATCAGAGGTGTGCTACAGCCAGACGGAGCAAATACATTTTAACAGCATTCTCATCCATGATCGGCCACTGAGATGTCCCTGACTTCTTAATAACTTTCTAGAGGGCTAGTTCTGGTCACCACAGCAATTACCTTTATGTCAAGCCGTAAAAGATATGTCCACCCCAGGGACTGGCAGACAGCTTGCTCCATAATGCTCATTACAGATGAACGTCTAGACTGATTTTTCTCTCACTTTGTGGATGTCATATTGTGACGCTGTCACTAGGCCAGCTTTCGCTGTGGGTGACTGACACATTGTACAATACGTTATCAAATTACAGATATTTTATCAGATTTTAAACCTTTTAATTTCTTTGATGGTATAGATTGGTTAGACTATATATCTATGTATACATGTTTTTTTATTTATATACACACACACACACTCTTAAAAGGTTTGAGGTCAGTAATCATTTTCTTTTAAAGAAATTAATACTCATGCATTAAATTGATCATATGTGACAGGCTGACATTTATAATGTTATAACCGATTTCTATTTCAAATAATTGTGTTCTTGTGAACTTTATCAAATTAACGTACAAACAAAAAATGTATCACAGTTTTAAAGAAAATCATTAAGATGCACAAATGTTTTAGCACTTATAATAAGAGCACATATATTTACTACATATACTAATTTTAAAATATACTTACTAAATACAAATTTACTACTTACTAATACTTTACTACTTTACTTTACTAATACTTACTAAAACAAATATGTGATTGCACATTGTAATAATATTTAATTGTATTTTTGATCAATAAATGCAGCCTTGGAGAGTATAAGAGAGTTTCAAAAACATCTTTCAAAACAATCTTACAGATCCCAAACTTTTCAATGGCAGCATACAGTATATAAATTCTTTTTTATAAAGATTTAAATACAAAATACACACACTCACACACATACAGTATGTTCTGTATTGTATATTTATATTATAGATTGGTTAGACTGTCAAATCTATTGCTGTGGACTATATGGGGACTGTTTGGAGTCTTTTTTGTCTAATATTTTATGTGATTATTTCCCCCCCCCCAAAAAAGTGACAATTATATATATATATATATATATATATATATAGATAAAAAAGGGTTAGGTTTAAAATTTGAAACCATTACAAATATTGTATATATACTGTTAAGAGTGATGCCAAAGAGTATCTGGAGAGGTTGTCAAACGTTACGTTAACTATGATAAACTGTGGTAATTCTGATAGAACACTTGTGTGAACCTGAATTATACAACTGTTGTTTGTGTAAGCATAAAATGAAAGGAAAATATAATTCTATTACTCTGACTCTAGCCTGCAGGACAGTACTGAAGTTTAGTTAAAGTCTTAATTAACGTCCTTAGATTTCCCCTCAGCAAACCTTGTATGCCTTACCTCTACCAAAGTCACAGCTTGAGTCCTTCCCTTGAGTTAGACATCAAACATATTACCAAAATACGTGTAGAATTACTGCCACCCTACATGTAGGAAAGAGAGAGAGAGTATGAGTGAGGTAGAGAGGGAAAGGATTGGGACCGATTGTCAGCACAACCTTTTAAGTTTTCCTCTCAAGGCAGTAAAGCGTTTTATTTTGCCTGTGATCCCTCTACTTGTCACAGCAATTTCCCCAGTTGTTCATCATCCTTTAACTGCTTCCACATTAGCATTATCATCTCCTTCCTGCTTCACCTGAAGTTGTCTCTCACCACTATTTCTCTAAATGTGAATGGTATTCATCTTCCCTTGTCAAGTCATTGAGGCCTGCAAAATGAAAAATGAAGAGACTCACAACCAAGAGCGAGAACAGAGATATGAGCGCTCTAGTTTAGTGAACATCGTACAAGACCAGGGGGACTCAAAAGTGAATAAATGTTTCATCAAAGACAAAAATCTCTATTTCTTTTTTCTCATTTCCATTGAGGGTTATCTTCAATCTTTGTTCAGTGGACTTTCAGACGATGCTGGAAAGTTTCACCTGCAGCCCATAAATTCATTACGGAAATGTACACTGCATTCTTTCGCTCTCTTTTTGTACGTGGAGGTATAGTCTTAATTAAGTTTTGTGAAGAATAATAGATGAACAGACCCCCCAATCCATGGGAGACGCATTGATTTCACATTATACAGGGAACTTTCAAATTACTGGGCTATTACTGGCTGTTTGCATCATTTATAATGTTGTGCATGATGTTCTCAAGCTGTTGCGCTATTTGACAACAACATTTTATACCCATTTTAAAGTTTACACAGACAATCATAAATGTTATTTTGTTTACGTACGATATTTAACCATATTCGATAATGCACAGCCTCTGAAACACTGATACGCTCTGGACCATTTTAGATGGAAATGTCTTCATGAATGTAGTCCTTTGCTGACTGAGTTTTCATATGCTGCTGTTAAGCTTACAGCAAAATTAGTAATTATAGAGAAAATACAGGGTTGCTCGTCTGTGCGATTTCAAACAGCCCTACTTTCACATCTGCTTCAGCAAATGATCCTCTCAGCCGTGCCTCAGGATGGCAGCCTGCGCTAATTACCAGCCAAACTAGTTTGGCTTATTTCTACAAATTATTAAGACTTTATCTTAAGTGGACCAGAACTCAATCCTGGAGCAAAAAGGTTCTTTGGCACATAGGATCAGCACTGCAGTGTAAGGCAGAAATAATTTCATGTTTAACCTTTGCAGATCATTTGGATGTTTTTAAAACATTAAAGGTACAAATATATAAGACAGTCATTACGTAGAACTATTCATGGTTTATTCATTATTGTTTACAAATTAAAAGATTTTAAGATTAACACCATTCCTGTTTAATGCAACCTAAATTAACGCTCTGATTTAGGCAACGATAACAGCTGTCCTAATATTCCAGCAGCATGGCTGTGACATTGCTTTTATAAAACAGCTATAAAGAAAATCATGAAGGTAATATTGAGTAGCTTACATTTTAGACAATATTGACAGCTGTGATGTCTATTTTTACCTCCACCAGAGAGAATCACGGTGGAAGCAAAATCCACTACTTCGTCTCTGAGCAACACAGCAGTGGTGAATCAGTGTTTCTGAACGAGTCATGAATGATTCAGTGACTCACCCTCATAGACAGCCACTTGATTTATTACTGACTGAATCAGTGTTTTGAATGAATCGGTTGAATGAATGCTTCATTGACTCACTCATAAAGACAGAAATTGTAATATAGAAATAGCTTTTCCAGATTCAGTCAGACATTGTTCCTGAAGGAATCTGCGTTTTGAACAAATAAGTTGATTAATTCATAAAGACGTGTACGTAACTTAAAAGCCTTTAAAGACAGGCCTACTGTGAGCTACAAGGTTGTTAACTGATGGCATATGCATTTGTTGAAGCCATCAGTCTGCATTATTTAATTGTGTTCTATAAATTGTATAAATAAATTTCTACTAATTAGGGAATTGTGACAAGTAAATAATGGCAGAACTGTTTAGTGCCTACCCACTCCCATGAAACAAGCGAATGATAGAGTCAGTATCAATATTTTTATGGCTAATACACATATTTTGCAATAAACATTCACCTCATAGCTGGTTCATTTGGATCATGGCTTATAATCTTCTTAAAATATAATTAAAAAAAAATATCAATAGGAAAAATTTATGGGCAAAATAATTCTGGAACCAAGGTCAAGGAAAGTGTGCATGCACTGTTGCACTCTACAATTGTATAATAAAGATATGTATAGGCTATAGATGTTGTATATAATGTTGCATATAGTATTGTGGATTCTCATGTTTGTGTGTTTGTGCTTTTCACAGTGTTGTTGGAAGGTCACATGCAGAAGAGTCCATATTCCAGAGGTGGGGCTTGTGGACTGGGGGGAGGCTGAAAACGAGGACCACCCCTCCCCCAAAAGTGCCAGCCCCCGCGTTCTTAACCCCCTGCGCCTTTTCGCCCGGGGATCCCCTGGGTTCAAGAGCAACAGGAGGGAGATTACATATTTGGAAAACATCGAGGACCCTTGGGACTGGTTATCTAACCAGACAGATGTCAGAGAGGCGCAGAGCAGGACTAAACGCAGACCCATCGTGAAAACGGGCAAGTTTAAAAAAATGTTCGGCTGGGGTGACTTCAACTCCAACATCAAAACTGTGAAACTCAATCTCCTCATTACAGGCAAGATAGTGGACCACGGCAACGGCACGTTCAGCGTTTATTTCCGCCACAACTCCACGGGCCTGGGGAACGTCTCCGTAAGCCTGGTGCCGCCTTCCAAGGTGGTGGAGTTTGAGATCGCCCAGCAGTCCACCCTGGAGACGAAAGACTCGAAATCTTTCAACTGTCGTATCGAGTACCAGAAAACAGACCGCAGCAAAAAGACTTCACACTGCAACTATGACCCGTCCAACACGTGTTACCAAGAATCCACCCAGAGCCATGTGTCCTGGCTCTGCTCGAAGCCCTTCAAAGTCATATGCATCTACATCGCCTTCTACAGCACTGACTATAAACTGGTGCAAAAAATCTGCCCCGATTACAACTATCACAGTGACACGCCGTACGCATCCACGGGTTAAGATCCAGTCCATCCTACACAGTGAGAACGGTCAACCTCATTTTCACAGTGTGTTTCATCTGATTTAGAAGCAATTAAAATAAATCCAGATGTTTCGCATTAGGCTACACTACGGGCATCACCTATTGTGATATGGCAGTCACGACGTTTGATGGCAAAATAACTGATCGGCGCTTTTGTTTTTGGCTTTAAACGTCTCACATCCATCCCACGGTTCGAGTTCCATTGGGAATTTTTTTCCCCCGAAAACAGACCATCTTTCGCTACTTGTCAAGCTAATAAATCACAGACCTACAGAGGATAGATTATACGTGAAACACCTTTTTATTGTGAGGTTTGTGTGTGTGCGTGTTTTATTGAGCAATGTGGCCTCTTGTTCAGCACTAAATTGTTTGAAGCATTTATGCAGTTGTCAAGATAAGTGCGAACGGGTTAAATCATTCAGCAAAGACATCACTTACAAATTACTCTTAGTTGTTTCGCATTTCACAAAAGATCTATGTGTGAATTGAGATTTGTGTATAATTTCAAAGAGTAATTTGCAATGTCTCACGAGAGCACAATTCATTGGACAGGTGGATTTAGTGAATCTGGCAGCCGGTTAACAACCCTTTGTCATGGTCTCGCCACAGAGATCCACATTTGCAGGCTCTAATTAACATTAATTATAGTGGGAAATTTCACTTACAAACCATGACAGAGGGGCCCAGAGCCAAAAACTGAAATTTAGCATGTCAGTCATGTAGCAAACCTCTATTCAAGCCAGTGACTTTGGACTGGAATCAAACTCTTTCGTGTCAAAGTGAAAAAGTGTCAGGAGTAAATACAGACATTTATGCAAACGCACACGAAGGTAAATTAATACAATTTGCGAGTCTACCTTGTATTGAGTGTTTCATAATTTAAAACAGTATATGGAGATCATTTGAAGGAATCATTTTTGTTTGCACATTATAGTCTAAATGTCAGTGTGTCACAATGAACCAGTTGAAACGCCATAGTCTGATAATCAGAACTGGAATTCTCAGGTTCCATTTGTGCGTGTACCAAACAGATTATTTTCCCATATCAAGGGTGACTGATCTAGATCGCAGTTCTGCTCAAATTGAAAAATCAGATGGATAATTAATTGTACTGATACTCTAATTGTCTTGCCACATGAACATTCACATCAAGAACATGTCGATACAAAGATAGCTGTTTATAATTGGTATTTAGTTTAAAATCCTGCGTGCAATTTTGTGAATAGAGTATAAATGTGACTATAAAACCGTGTGTATTTTGCCTTTAAAGGATGAATTTGTTTCTTTAATCTATGCTAATTGTCTTGCCACATGAACATTCACATCAAGAACATGTCGATACAAAGATAGCTGTTTATAATTGGTATTTAGTTTAAAATCCTGCGTGCAATTTTGTGAATAGTGTATAAATGTGACTATAAAACCGTGTGTATTTTGCCTTTAAAGGATGAATTTGTTTCTTTAATCTATCAATCCAGCATTGATCAATTTTCCTACTTTTGGTGTTTGACAGTTATATCAAGTAGATGTAGAGTTGAACCATCTAGCTTGTCAGTTTTATTTTTTTTAGCAAAGTGTATGCTTTATGTTTGTCTTCAATATCTGTAAAACACAAAAAAATGCTCAAGGAAAATACCTGAGCTTCCAGCTTTTTTTTTTTTTTAAACCCTCTATGGTATGCATTCGCGCTGATTTGCTATGAAACTATTTTTGCTCAAAAATTATTAGTAAATTTCACAAAGATATCGCAAGTAACACATAGAAATAAATTATTTTTAAGTAAAAAAAACAAAAAAAAAACATCTTTACAGTGTGGATCATTTTTTCTTTGATTATTAAACTCATGTTTCTTTTATAAATCGTTGCACACTTTTATTATTTACACTTAAATATTTCCCTAAAAACAAGTTTGTTCTATTTCAATAAAGCAATTTATAGAGCACTTCGATGTGCCTCCCTGTGGGTGAGAATATCAAATGTCACGTGGCTTAAAAAGACTATATTGTTGGTTTCTTTTTAAAATGTCCTTTTATTTCAAACTACTGTCATAGTTAATTTTTTCAGTGAAGGAAAAATGATGCTGCCATAGAGGGTTAATTTATTGCTTTTATTCAGTATGACTGTCACAGATTTAAACATGAAGCATATCCAGACAGTATATGTGAGATTTGTAGTGAAACATCAGCATATCTGCCGTCGTTTTTATGACCGCATAAAACACTGATTCTTCAGTCAGTAAAATATCCTGCAAAATCACATTACCTCTGGATAAAAACATTACATCCTGTGATATGTGTTGCATTTCATCAAGCTCTAATACATGATCATATTCAATAAAAAGCTTTTTGATGTACAGACCCGTGTTACATTAGTTTATGTGCATATGGAAACGATGGACTCTTCCTCAAATGTGAACCTTTTGTTTCTTTCCGAATGGATTGTCATGTTTTTGGCTTTTAACATAGATGGCCTCCCACCATCCGATTCACACTGAACAAAAGAAAGAACAAAAGACAAAACTGAATTGCCCTATGATGGACAAAAGAACAACTGTATGAATTCGCAATGTCTCATTAGCTCAGTGGTGCACTTAAAAATTGTCTTCCAGATAGACAGGAGTGGGAGAGAGGTTTTCTAATAGTGAGATGTTATCACAGAGTTCCCTAGGAGCCGCAGAAAACGGTCGACATGAAGCGGCATGTTGGCACGGGAAAAAGATGCGTGTTTGATAGCTCGGATTACGGACTGCATGCTGTTCGCTTTAATTAGCCCTGCTTTCCCATCATGGAGGGTGCGAGAGCAATACGTTGCAACTGCTGCAGAGATCACAATGGCCACAGTACCACAACTTACATTGCAGTTGCAGTGCCAGGAACAATTGTGCTAATGCTAAGTTTAGTGTTTAAAATAACACTGCGATGTTTAATCAATCACAAAATGACTATTATGTTTAGCAAAATGCAATTTGCAGTTGAGCTTGATGGCCGGTTGTTCTTATATTGTTCTTTTTGCCCATTTCATCACCTCTTTTCACCTTCTTGAAATGTGTTAAACACAAATAACCAAAGCAAAATGTCAAAACATTAGTCATTTTGCAGGTGACATTTCACTTCCTGCTAAACATAACTATAACAAACTCCTCAGGATGACATCATGAAGCAAAACACTGCCCTTACTGAAAAAAAAATAAAAATAAAATTTATATAATACGCCATATATAATAGTAGTATAACAAGATATTTATACATATGCCGAAAAAGAGAGGGAAAAAATCAGTACAGATGACTGTTAATTAGTGGGAAACTGCCAATTTAGAGACTACTTCAGTAAAAATTATATGTAATGTAAATGTAATATATATACCATTCAAAATTTAAGTAGAATTTAATAATTTTAATTAGCAAGGATGCATTAAACTGATCAAAAATGATAGTAAAGACAATGCTACAAAAGATTTCAAATTCTGTATTTTTTATCTTTCTTTTCAAATAATCCTGAAAAAGCAACTTCATTTAACATTAATAATATGAAATGTTTCTTGATTATTGATTTCTGATGGATCATGCGACACTGAAGACTGGATGCTGAAATTTAAGCTTTATCATTGCAGGAAATAATTACATTTCAAAATATATTAAAATATTTTTTAATCAATGATTTTACTGCTTTTATTGTAATTTTGAGCAAATAAAATTCAGTCTTTGTGCGCAAAACAGACTCCCTAAAAGAAAAAATAAAAGAAAATTCAGACCCCAAACTTTTGAATGGAAGTATATTATATAAACCATACATAAAACACCACTGAATGCTGAAAAACTTTTTAATGAGTTAATGCAGGCATTCTCGCAGACAATATTTTTTTAAAGTCAGTATAGCATGACACAATGTAGAGTCCTCTTCCAAATCACTGTAAGTTTGACTGTAACACCACAGCTCAAAAACAACAAAACTCTGATAGACCGAGGACAATCAATCTATCTGTACCTCCCAATCAAACATTCATCAATCCATCCATATGGCATGCACAGTAATGCCACAATCTGATGCTCAGCATCCAAACATTTCCTGATCACAGAGGACAATGTGTTTGAAGATGGATTGTCTAGTCCAATCAGGTTACACAAATGCATTATGGGCCAGACAACTTCAAACTACTTGTCTGTATATGGCAGACCAATTCAAGGGAAGCAACAATATTGTGTCTAAAAATTGAGTCGTTTGTAAAATTGTGAATACGTGACACTTTGAATGTTTTCACAGGTCAAGGGGCAGGACACAAACAGTAATTTGGTTAAACCGTGTCTATACATAGAAATCGTGCCATCAATATGGGGCATAGCTATCTTTTCAAAAAGTGTAAAGAAATGACCTTGCACTCATTGTGTTAACATTTATTTAATGTCTAGTCGCACAACTAAAGGAATATTTAGTTGTAAATATTTAAATTAATATTTAAAGGAACATTAGGAATATATACTATTTCCCATCGATCAAACTCCTGACGCATTCCTAGGAAGCGCCATATAAAACAGCGAGACTTTGGGAACTAGTGCAACAGGGAAGAGGCCTGGTCTCATGGGACAAGGCAGGCACAGAGTAGAACTGAGAGAATTCAAATACTCCACACAAGAGTCATGGCAGATAGTTTAAGGCTGTTTGAAGTGACAGAAAGATTCGCAAAATAAAGCTCAGATGCCAAACCCATCGCTCAGGAAGGGTGAGAACAGCTTTCACTGCCATTTAGAAGACAGCCTGTCCCAGTCACGTGCTGTCGGTTCGGATGACAATGGGATAGAGTCTAAACTCCGCAGTTTTCTGGCTTTTGCCCCAGGACAGGCTCAAGAGAGCAGCGGGAACGTCATCACGACTGTTTTAGGCGCTTCCTGGGCAGACCGAAGTGGGGGCACTGTGCTGACGCGAGCGCGCGGAAAGCCTCCGCCACTAAGTGAGGATGAGACTGGATCATTGACTTCCAGCCAGCGGTCTCCATTATGTCCGTGGCGTGACTGTCAGGAGAGGGTGAAGACGTTTTAGTATTAACACAAGACACATTAAAAATCGATAACAGCAATGTGGATTAATCCAGTCTAATGGAGTAAAAAAAAAAATAAGGTAAGAGAGGCTCGATTCAATGGTGCATATGGGAGATTCAAGCAACTATGTCTATTTATACAAAAGACCATTTTCCTCCAAATAAGCATGCACTAATGCAGGAGTTATTGCCATTCTGAAGAGTACGATCGGCAGGGCGCCAGGGATCTATAATAGTGACTTTGTGATATGTTTATAATGCAGGAATGTTCTCTTCCTTGACGTTTCAGACAGTCAGAGTCTATTAATAACCGGTATCAGGAGATATGCGGGCTGTGGGTACCAGCCAAGCAGCTCAGGCTGCCCAGAACCTAAAACAATGAATTCTAATGCATCTAAGAGAGTAGATAAGAGCTCAGTATTAATCTTGTGTCACACATATCAGCTAATTACATACTTGCTATTCCAGTTTTTCCCATCTTTACAGCCCAGCTGTCGGAGGACACTGCACCTATGGATAAGATAGAAGAAAAACACTCTCATTCTCAGGCTGGTAAACAGCCATGGCAGCAGGAATTTATCAAGCAGAGTTTCTTTGGCGGAGCTTGCCTGTTGATAAAATCTATGGCCTGTGCTTTGAGCTGCTCTGCGCTGTGCAAGTCGGCCAGGATGAGGGTGTCTGCCACGTTCTCCACCGAGAGGCTGTTGCAAAGGGCTTCCTCACACATGACCTTTAAGCGCTCCAGAGCGTACTGAGAGAACGACACGCATGACTTATACAATACAACATTCAAAGGCTTGTGATGCCATTTAAAGCTTTCGCTCACCCAAAAATGACAATTCTGTCAGCATTTGTTCACCTTCATGTTGTTCCAAACCTGTATGACTTTCTTTCCTCCATACAACACAAAATAATACATTAGTAATCATTTACTGGTCAATTTTCTGAAGGCTTTAATCTTCAAAAAGGAAAACGCACCATAAAAGCATTACTGAAATAGTCCATATGACTATATTCTGAGAGAAACAGAGTAAAATCTTTCAAAAGTCTTTATTCAATGAAAATCTAGCTCACCCTGGTGCATTCACGAAAGCAGTAGTGACATCTAAATTATTCTTTAGTGAATCACTTGGCTTCAGTGACCAGTACAAAATGTCTTTCCACACGAAGAAGAAGAAAAAAAAAATCAATACAGGTTTAAAACAACATGAGA